ACTGTTTAAAAACATTGCTACACAATAGTTTCAAGTGATTTATTTTTATGTATACGTTAAAAAATTTTTTTGTTTTCAAAGCTGTAATGAATTAGTTAAAAAAAAGAATTACTTCCTGAAATATAATGACACAAACTGAGCGTCATAAAAATGCATTTTTAAACTGGCATCGAAACGAATTTATACATCGATAAATATTTAGATGCATTATTTTCAGTCAATAACATTTACTATATTATATTATATTATATTATATTATATTATATTATATTATATTAAAACAATATAATATCTAATGTATANTTATATTATATATTACATATCTATAATTTACAACGTTTTCTAAACAGTTTATCTTTCAGTTTATAATTCTACTATAATTTTTTATTATTTCTTTCACTCTAAAATTACAAGTAAATTCTTTTTTCCCATGCATTTAAGCACAAAAGAAGTTCGATGTAAATTTGTGAAACAATAAAGTAATTGGAGCAAGTTTCCTTTCCAAAGTTCTGTGATTAAGTCACTCTATGAACATTAATGGCATGTAATTTTACTTTTTAAACAGAAATAAAGTTTGATTTTAACAGTGCATTAAATTTTTTTTTTTCCAATGCCGTATAACATCGGCTAGTCGAAGTAAAGAGTTAGATGCGCTGTTCGCAATCCTCAACTCTGTATACTTATTAAATTTGAGCGTAACTCAGAAAACAAAAGACTCACTAAATCAGCTATTAGAATTACCTCGTTTTCGTAAATAACCTTTTATATGGAACAGAAACTCATCTTGGGAAGAGTTTACGTGATCGCAGTAAACAAATGAATAAATCAACTAGATCGATTTCAAACGCGAAAATTACTCCCAAAAAATGCCGAGTGTTCCATATCATGTGTTGAAAAGAATTTTAAGTACTTGCCCCCAAAACCAACTCTCTCAAATATGTATTAAAAATGTGCATCGTATATGTGTAACGCTACGTACATGTCGTTTAGAACTGTATTTCCCAGTTTTTTTTCGACAATGGAACTTGCTGATCGACCCACTTTTGGCGGAAGACCGAGACTTAATAAATAAATTTATAAATAAATAAAAATATTGAATGATTTAAAATAGTAATTATCTTGAAAATATTTAATGAATGAAAAAAAATGGGAATTTTTTCATCGTATCGTTTTATCAATGGACAGACAGTTAAATTTACAAGTCTAGAGCGGCATATAGTCTACTAATTTGATTTTAGGGAATGGATAAACTGAATGCATGAGCTAAAACTGGATTTCATTGAGAAAAAAGACCGAAATTAACGTTAAGAATGGTTATTAGATGGACATATATCTTCATTGCTGAATTAGGTTCTTTTTATTCTATACAAAATACCAATGCAATTTTTAATAAATGTCTCCATTTCATTATTTGTTCAATACATTGTTATTAGAATCTTTTTTTTCATTTCGCTTATTTTTCTTCACAAGTATTGTAATTAAAAAGTTTCAAAAAAATAACGAAAACATTAAATCATATGTAATTAATCAAATATAAATTTAACTACAAGTTTCAAAATTATAACAGGTAAAAAAAAAAAGTCCTAACTTACGGAACCCTTCCACGGAACCTTAGGGATCCGCAGAACACCATTTGGTTTAGAGCATAGTAATGCACTTTTGAAAATTTTAGGAAGTGAATATAGAAATTCGGTATCCTGACTGAATATAAAATAAGTAATAAAACATATGAAGTAGAAAAAGGCAGATGATGTTAGAGGATCGGTCACTTAAAACGTACACTCGGTACCCATGTGATGTATAGAAGAAGGAAAAAGGTCAAATTCAATCAACAAGGAGGAAATATTTATTTGCGCTCTCGCATCGCAGTTTTATTGTTCTTCATGAAAATTAATGAAGCGTACTCTGAAAAAGGAGCAGAGGTGTGCACTTTTCCTGTCGTTCAGGTCGTTGTCCCAAACGTGCATTTTATTATTACGGTGTTTTTATTTTATTTTTATTTCCGAACGAAATTATTCCTCGTTATACTTATTCAAATTTAGTTTATGCGATTTTTTGGAAAGTAAAAGTGGCTCTCTCGGTTTATGGAGGTTCATAAAAATTTGATTCCGGAAAGTATTTTATTAAACTACTTTCAAGTCGTTTGCGTAATCTCAAAAATGAACGAAAAAAGTTCCATTTTTTTACGAGTCGTCTGCTTTCAGAAAGGCTACTGTAGTTATAGAACAGAATCTACTTATTATCTGTTCAAGGTATTTAAATTAGATTAATTATGTAATATATAAATCAAGTAATCCGCATATTTAAAAAAATAATAGCATAATAATTTTTTTAAACAATCTTACGATCAATCAAAAGAAACCTAAGTTGAAGTTGATTTGTAACTTAAAATATAGTAGAGGAGCAATAAAAATAGTTTTGAATATTTCAAAATTAAGATTGGCAGTAAGAGATGATAATTAAAACAATTGAAATCGTTAATTGTATGTACAGTAATAGAAAATAATTATGTAATCGTATTAATTGTCATGATTTTTTGGTCAAAATCAATAATATAATTACATAAATATACTGCATCCAAAATAAAAACCCTTAAAAAAACTAGGAACCACATAGTCCAAAAAATACACTTATATCAAGGAAAAAAATACTAGCAGAAAAAAAATGCTAATAAACACTGCAATTTGCAAAATTTAAATTATACATTTGATAATTTTTCTCTGTGTAATTTTTCATCAGAAATTTTGGTTTTCAAAATAGCAGTTTCAAATAGAACCAACAAATTCAATAAAAATACAACATTAATTTATTGGTAATTTTAACACAATTCATTATCAAAGTGTTAAAAATTACTGTAGTTTTTAGTGTTTCTATAGCACCAAAAAAAAACACTATAAATTTTATTATATTCTAGTAGTTTTGACCATATTTTCAGGGTACATTTAATAAAATGAATCAAGTCTTCAAACAAATTATCCTTGGAAAAGTTAATCTTATTAAATTTCTTACTTAAATCTAAACCTTCATTAAGTATTTACTTGTTGAACTACATTGTTTTAAGCTAAAATTTTTAAATGAAATTAAAAAAAAAAAAAAAAGAAATTGAACGATTAATTCTTGCAAAAGAATTCTGCATCATATTTAGAAATATATTTCTAAATATATTATGGGTAAAACAATGAAATATTGCTGTAAAATTAGCATTTCTCATACTTAAAATTAAACTTAGTTTTTCAAGAAATATCGAAATTTTAAAGATAAAATCAACAAAGACATTAATAACAAAATGTTTTTCGGTAAATGAAATAGGAGACATAGGACCGACATCAAAAATATTTAATATCAATAGTATTAACTTCTTAAATTATTAACTTATGTTTCTGCTTCATACGGTACAATTAATGAAGGGAAAGTGGCACGTTTCTTTTCTTATGATGAGAAAAAATGCTTTTTAAAACTCTCTGTATACACATAATGAAAAAAAAAACATTAATTAAGATAATAAAGAAAAGCTCTCAATTTGTATAGCAAAACAAAATCTTTAAGTTCAACAATTTGGGACATTGTTTAAATCTCGTACATTATTTTTTGAACATACTTTTTGAAAAATATTTTAAAATGTTTTTTTTTTTAATTTTTTTTTAAACAATTTCTTGGTTCTAGGTTTGAAAATTGTCGGAGTGAGGAAGAAGCTCATAGAATTACAAATGTTTCTTAATTTTTTTATAATTGATAATACACTTCATTCCTATTAAAAAATTTACTATTAATAATTTTTATTCTTACTACTGCATTGTATGATAATTAATTTTAAATTTGCTGGCGTATAGTATTTATAGGAACTATTTCGAGATTCGGAAACAAGATCACATTCTATTAAGAAATGAAATTAAAAAAAAAATAAAAAATTTTATACGTCGATCAAAATCATAAGCCATATAAGATGTTTATAAATGAAGGGATTAAATACAGATATAAGTCAAACTTTTCTTAAATGTAACACTTAATATTAAGTATTGTTTTCAGATAGGTACTTAAGAAGTATTGTTTCCGAAATTTATCCGAGATATCAGCAGGAACACAAAGGTGCTTACATGAAAATTGTAGTTTTTTTCACTAAAAACATCCATTTGAAAATTTGACTTAACATTATACTGCCCAAAGATTTTATATATATATAGTTAATTAATTTTTTTAAAAAATTAATATACCAAATCTGTCATGAATGCTGTTAAAATTGATCAGTCCATAATTATTCAAACATTTGATTTTACAATTTAGAATTAGTAATTTCTTGGTTTCGCTACAACATTTTTGGATTGAATACTTCGATTCACGTTTTATATTTTAGTTATTCAGCAAACATTCAAAAAGTAAAAGCCATAGACAAAAAGTACCTTGAGTCATATACAGGGGTCTGTCCAGACATTTTGTGTAAGGTCCGTTTTTCGTGAAATTGTGAAAAAATTACTCACATTCTTTCAACCAGGGTCCGCTTTTATGAATTTGTGCAAATAGGGTCCGTTATTGCAAAAAAAATCTTTTTNCAAATTTTTCCTAAATGTAACACTTAATATTAAGTATTGTTTTTAGATAGGTACTTAAAAAGTATTGTTTCCGAAATTTATCCGAGATATCAGCAGGAACACAAAAGTGCTTACATGAAAATTGTGGGTTTCTTCACTAAAAACGTCCACCTGAAAATTTTACTTATCATTATACAGCCCAAAGTTTTTTATATATATACAGTTAATTAATTTATCTAAAAAACTAATTTAATCACTGAAGAATAATACCAAATCTTCCATGAATACTGTTAAAATTGATGAGTCCATAATTATTCAAACAGTTGATTTTACAATTTAGAATTAGTAATTTCTTGTTTTCACTACAACATTTTTAAATTGAACATGTCCATTCACGTTTTATATTTTAGATATTCAGCAAGTCATAGACAAAAAGTACCTTGAGTTACATAGATATAAAAAAAATGCACTTACCAAGTGGGGGATATGATTTAACGAAAAGCACAACAGTGTTGTTAGAGCCACAGATGGCCATCTCAAATCTGATGTGCCCTTGTTATTCTTCCCGTAAGGCCTCCTGCTCGCTTGTCGAGACGGCCTGTGCAATGCTCGCGTACTGCCAGTACTGCTCTGAGTATCCAGTGGACTGTTCATTCCAGTAGCAGACGGTAAGTCCGGAGATGCACATTCTGGAAGTTGGAAAGACCCATTTGCACTGGTCTTCAGACCATGTCTGCTACGATGTATTTCAATCTGTATCATGCATATGAACGTTATTAGTATCAGTACTCCGTATAAGGAGAGCAGAAAAATCACATATCGCAAGTCCCACTGAGACGGATGGAAATAGCAATTCTTATTCTCAATTATATTCACTCTGGCAAAAACTGCCGCAACACCCACAAGTATCGAGACCAAGGCAAGTACTCCTATGTGATATCGTATTTGGTTCCTGCGGACGCTAAATCGGTACCGGTAAGGCCAGCGGACCGTCAGAGCTCTGTCCACTACCATGGACGTTAGGGTGGCGATTTGGAACGTCCTGGTGGATATCAGCCCCCACTGTGTAAAGTTACAGGGTGCTTGGATGGGTGGTATGATTAAGCTTATGATGGAGTAACAAAATGTGAAGATGGATATGACAAGTTCCAGACAGCATGTTGTTAGTAAAAAGAGATCTACGGTTCTCCACCTTCTACGATATGTATGAAAAACGTATATGGTCCACAAAGCCAAGACGGCTATAAGCGGTGATCCCGACGAAGTTACAAGCCAATTGATAGCGAGAGGTTCCATAACTAAATCGTACAAATTACCAATTATATTCTACAATTCATATGTCAAAAATCTTTCTATTAAAAACTATCACGATTCTACTTTACTATCTAATTATATAAAGCATAATAATTTTTATATCAATGCCTAATATGAAATATAGATGGCAATTTTGCAAACAACACATCTAATTCAACTTTTTTATGAAAATTCGACCTACAAAATGACTTACGGTAAAATTTAAATTACTGTTTAAATTACATATTTGCTAAACAAACTACTTGGATAAAATTAAAGAAAAATGATGCCATCTATGGTAATTTTTATCATTTAGTGATGATAAGAGTGTTATCATCACTAAATGATTTTTTATTCCGTTAACTTGTGTTCAAGACATTTTGTATGAAAGCATTCCCCAAATTATTTATCATTTCGATGCTCTCTTGAGAAACATAATTGTGCGAAATGTTTATTTGTTCCCATTTTGTTGATTAATAAATCTGATTCTGAAATTTTCTCTCAGATAACACACTCATAAACATCATCTTGAGTAAAAAATTCCAGCGAAATTTTCAGAATAGTTCTCTGTAACGAGGCAAATTCCGTAAAATAAGTATCACAAAAGCGTATTTTGACTAGGATTAATAATTTAAAAATATTACGAAATTAACAAGCGTGGCACAGTGGCTGAGAGCAGAATATTTTTTATCCATGTATGGAAAGTACAATAACGTGGCACTCACTAAGCAGATATCAACATCACAAAACATTTCCAAAACAAACAAATAATTCCACGCAGAACATCATCATAACAAGTTTTTGTTTTTCTTCCTCACTGCGGTAAAACTTACTCACACCTAACCTCTCGCGAATGAAGGTTCTTTCAATAGTCTGATAAGCGATTTTCACTCTGAGAGACAGGGCTTTCCTCACATCGCCAAAAAAGTAACTTTTAGGCGCCAAAAACTAGTTTCGCGCCAAGCGACGAAGTAGTAGAATCATTAAATCATATGCAATGCGGGGATTGGATTCGTGTTATTCCTGTTTAACCACTCATTATACTATGTAGTTAGTAACTGCATTGTTTTTAAGTTTTCAACTAATTTTTTTTTAAAAGAAGGAAACAAACTTTATTTAATTGCATTTTACTATTTCTCTGCTTATTTATTTTATTTAAAAAAGGAATGGTATATTTAATTTTCACAATTTTAAATTTGCTTATTATGCTAAGGAAGATTTATACTCGAAGAGCAAACAGTGTTAAAAAATTTCACAATAGTAAACAATTTTTTTTTAATGTTAAATTTTAACGAAAAGTACCTAAATTTTTGTTTCTACTAAGTTTTAATCAAGCATTGAGTTAGAACACGTACGTGGTAAGGTATGTTTCATATTTATTACAGCTGAGACATTTATAAAAACTTTAATGAAAAAAAAAACTGAGTTAATGCTTCAATGTTAATAATTTTTGTGGTAGAGTTATTCTCTTAAAAACTATTGCTAATATTTGGTACAATTCCCCTTCGAATAACTTAAGTACCTTAATTTATATTAAAAGAAATTTTGAAAACACTATATCGATCGTATTAAAAATTGCATGAAACTTTCGTAATTAGTTTAATCATCTTTTGCTAATTTTCGTGAAGTTTGAGAATGTGCAAACGCATTTCCTGCAATAAGATAAAAACTCAAATGATTATTCTTATAAAAATTGATCATAATTATTTTCCATGATTTTATTGAACTATTTGAAAAAAAAATATGTAGAAAATTGAAAATCTCAAGTGTTTATTTCTTTGGAAATTGTTAGTCCTTTTTAAACAAACCTTTTAAGCAATTATACCTAATTCAAAATCTCTACTGCTTCATTATTATGTGATTATTATTCACCTTTATTACGTGAAGGAACTAAAATATAAAAAAAATCTTTTTGGAAGCTTTTTTTGACTTTTCATTTATTTAATTGAAATTAATTTAAAATTAATTAATTATTTAAATTAATTGAAATACTATGAAGTTTTATTTAACTATATCAGAAATTTTGAAAAAATCAAAAAATTTCTTCTGGTTATTTAGTCTGAGTTTGTGAAAATACTGTATATGATAAAACCATTTGGTTAATTATTCGAAATAACTGGATAATTCTAGCAAAATCAGTATTTTAAATTCATTCAAAATTTATTAAATATTTGAAGACAATAATATTTTTTTAACCTATTTAAAATGTTATACAAAACTGAAGATCTCTAGTGTCCATTTATATATCACATGTGAAATTTTTTTTAATTATTATACCTTTACGAAATTAGACAAAATTAAAAAAATTCTGGTGTTTTTGCTTATTATCTGTAAAATATTTTAATATAATCTTCGAAAAAAATAAATCCATTTAGAAATCTGTTCATGTTAATTTGCGTAAAACTTACAAATTGCTTAAAATATGCATAAAATACAAATACATTTGATCAAATGCTTGTAAAAATGATATCAAATTAAAAATTATTTATGTTTGTTTATATAGAGCTCGTGAAAATGTTGAGATATTTTTTGATTGCACTATTTGCAAATAATGCAAACATAAAAACATCTCCTATTCTACATAAATGTCATGAATATTATAAAAATCACAAATTTTAAAGTGATTAAAAACATCTATTAGAATTGAAAAATACTACTTGCACTGAGATAGTGAGATAGTTTAAATTAGAGATAGTGAAATAGCTAAAAAAATTGTGAAAAATTTAAAAATTTTTTAAACTTTCTGGAAAATCATAACAAAATAGAAAGCTTTCAAAATTCTTAATATTTCTTTACACACAGTTTTTGAAAACGTCAAAGTATTTTTCTGCATATTTAATTAAAACAAAATCGAAAAATATTGAAATTAGTGTATTATTTTGTAGTTCCGTAAAATATATGTTTAAAATTTTTTTTTGTGAAATAAGAAAAATAGGAAGAAAAACGACAAGAACACAACTTTATAGTCTTGATTTTATTTTTTATCGCATTACTTCCTAAATTTCTTTAGTTAAATAAAATTTAGGTGCAAATTATCTTAAATTGAGATAGCAGAACAAAGTTTCGAAAATATAATAGAGTTCCCGTTATAGGTATTGATTATTATAACCTAAGTTATAACATTATTTTTATATCTTTTCAATTATTTGATTTAGAATTCGGTCTAAAATAAAGTTAGCTTTGCAAAGGAGTAAAATATAAACTTATCGAACTAAGCTTAATGCTTACCTTATGTAACAACGCTTGCGCAGCTGCTTCTAACCAACGATAACCCTACATTTTTATCTCAAACGGAAATCTTAAATGGCTATAAAATCATTCAAAGAATGAAAGTGCCGACGTTCGGAATGGGATGAAGCACTCACAGTTACTATAGTATTATTCTTTAACACTGTATTGCTGTATAGCTCTTCTCTATTGTTCTTTGAGCGAAAAAGCAAACGATATTTTGAGAACTTTTTCAACTAAATCATCATTTACATTAAAAATTGAGAAATATATTTTGATAGTCGTCTGCTTAGAATAATCGACCTGTTTGAAATATAGAAATAAAAAAGATTTATTTGAAGCAGAGGACTATTATTTTGAAATAAATATAAATCTTCTTTTCAAAAAAATGCTTTTGAAAAACTTTCTTAATTTATTAGTCGCTTGTTTCTTCAAATAAAGGTATTTTTTAAATGTATTTTTGTTTAGAATTAATATCGCTTTCATTTGATTAAATAAATTATTCTTTACAAAGCATAGATAAAGAATTAAAATGAAGTAAACAAATGGTATAATTTTTTTTTAATATTTTTGCATTTAAATTTAAGAAAATTTAATATTTTTTTCGATATACTTTAGGTAGAAATAGAATATTTTTTTCAACCATAATTAAAGTAAACTTGTTTAATTAAAAAAAATATTACCAATAGTAGTAACATTTCAATTGGAACGATAATTATTACTTTTCATTTTGAAAATGCTTTATTAAAACTATTTTAACAGAAAATAAAATTTAATTTAAAGTTTATTTCAATTTAATGAAGTAATTTTAAATGGATGTGTAAAAATTACAGTTAATATAAAGTCATAGTGCAAATACAAAATTCTGTTGCAACGATAGTGACTGAAAAAACTAATTTGAGATATTTATTTTTAAAGAAATTAACAAATATGTTAATAAAACTTTCGTTTTAGCAGAATTTCACTTTTTGTTTGTTCTATTGCACTAGTTTTCCTCTTTTTAGAGTATTTTAAGAAAGTATTTCATATAAAAATAAGAAGAAAGCACACTAAAATAAATCTGAATATTCTATTTACTATTAAGGAAAAAAATTTAATGTGTCGACGAATACTCCAAAATATACTACGAATACTAAAACGCTTAACATGCATTCAACAAATAAATGTATGCTCCGGTGCAGAAGATTGCAGATAATATAACAATTGAAATGCTATATAACTTAAATTTGGTTCATAAAGTTAAGTTATAACATTTTAAAATATTTCTATTGTGTATTGATACGAAGTTTAGAAAAGTCCGTAAACTATACCGTTAAATTTGTCATGAAGAAGTATTCCATTAAAAGTATTTCGATAACTTTTTTCGGCTTACAAAATTTGTCATGTTGCGTAAAAATTATTCATTACTAAGTAGAGCTCTTTTTTTAAAATTTTTTTAATTTTGTATTTTAAATAATGTCAGAGTATCGATTTTATTGCAGCTTTCCGTTTTGAAATTATGGACATTTCTGCAATTAAACATGTAAGTATGTAAATCTTTCTGTTGAGTTGTTGTTGTTATTATTGCGACTTGTCAAAACAAGCAAGCCTGTTATGGGACACCAAGCGAATTTAAGGTAGAGGAAATGTTTATTATTTTTCAGTGGCGCTATCTATGGCTAAGAATATGACTTAGCCACACACACGCCACAGCCCGTTTTACAGGGAGAGCCCATTCATTCATTCACCCATAGATCGTAATTTCGACCTGAGTTAAAAAACGATTAAACTCCAATTCAGGACCCCCCCTCCCCAGAGATATTGATTTGTTATGAGAACTAGGAAGACTTTGTGACACCGACCGATTTAGCTTGCATCAGTCATCATTTAATACACGGGTCAAACCTTTCTAAACATATGTATTTACCGGTTTTTGTCATTTATAAAATCACATTTGAATTATATACAATATATATTGTTGAAATGCACAAGTGCGAAAACGTTACGTATAACAGGGGGTCGCATAAATGCATAAATGCAGCGACAAATTTCATGGGGATTTAGGATGCATCATTAAAATTACCATTGCAGATGAACCTATGCAAAGTCATCTTATGCCGCTAGGGGCTCTTCTCCTATTACGAACTGTTTGTCTTGATGATGTATCTTAACTCCCCTAGAAGAATTTCGCAACATTTACGCAATTCTCTGTTAAACATAGCTTTTTTAATCTCGTACATTTCGATAAAAATGTCATTTTAAAAAACTGTAGTTTTAGGAGCGAATTGCAGATTTGAAATGCCCACATCCGATTTTGGTAAGATCAAGTATTTTTATAAATGCAACAAAACTTTGCTCCCTAGGATAATCGATAAGTTATACAGAGTAATATTTGACTTATAAAAACAATGAAATAGCATTAAATTAAAATACTGATGATTTTTCTCGAAATTATTTCGTAATAGAGTAAGATATTGATTAATATTTCTTATACTAAAATTGTTGATCATTGTGTCAAAAAAATTTACAAAATTTGAAATTATCATGCATTACGGTTTTCGTAATTGATTCTATAGTATGATTTCACAGAGCTTTTCGATAAATTTCGAAAAGGTTAACTTATCAAGAATTCTCTTTTATGAAATTCTCGTATCGCTATTTTTTCAATATCAAACAGA